TGTGTGTGTGTGTGTGTGTGTGTGTGTGTGTGTGTGTGTGTGTGTGTATGGCTAACATTCATTGGCTGCATTTTTATAAATATTTTTTTGAGAATAAAAACCTTAATGGATCAACAGGCACATCCTGTGATATCTTTTTTTATCTTTTGTGCAGCTTCATACAGATGGTACTACTGGAATATCACTTGTCCCAGTTTCTTTGTAGCTGTATTATCTACACAGCTCTTTGTTTCTTTGCTTTATTTGTGCAGCCAGTTGGTCCTGCAAACTAAACAGCTGTTGTACTCCTACCATTCAAGATTCCTAACTTCCAAGATTTAAAAGGGAGAAGAAAGCGAGCAGAAACACATTTCTAAATTGGGCTGATATGAATTCCTTGATTGCAGCACTTCTTATCTTCTTGCAGTAGAGCTACACTAGTGAAACAACTTTCAATTGCCAAGTTTGCCCAGTGTGCTTAGGCATTAGGAAACCTGTTTAATATCTTATGTGAACTCAGTTATTTTGGTTACTAGACTTTGGTTTATAATTTAAGCACGTATTACAAACTTAACCAATTGTGATTATTCAGTAAAACTACATTAAGCCATATTGTTAGTGTGAAATGTTGAACTGTTCACACTGTGGAAAGACCAGATTTGTAGTGCACATTGTAGCTATATTCAGTGATCTTTGGAATTATTTTTCATGTCCATTCATGCTCTGGGCCAGGGGTGTCAAACTCAAGCCCGTGGGGCTGGGCTGGAAATTGCAAAGTACGGTGCCTCTGCTAGCGAAAACGGGGCACGGGTGGCCCATGTGCCCAGTTTTCAGCCTGGATGGCCTCTTGCAGCACTCTGCCAGCCCTTCCGTGCCCTGTTTTGGCCAGCAGGGTGCTGCAGGAGGGCATCCATCCCATCTCTCTCCCCACCAGCCGGCTCGCGGAGGACAACCACAATGCTGATCCGGCCCTCCAAGAAATCCAGTTTGACACTCCTACTCTAGGCTCATAGAATAATCCATTTCTAGAAATATGTGCATTTTCACTGTAGTGTAGTAAACTTTTTCTTGAGAGCTAAAAATCCAGGTGTATCACTAAAGTTCTTGAGGATAACGATGATATAATATGGCTATATAAGAGAAATAGCACAACATTTAGAAATAATAATGTATAATATAAGCTTCCATTATATTAATTTAGTTAACTAGTAGTCTTAGTGTTTATATTATCTGCCAGCAGCACTCAAAATATGGTAGTATTTCTTCTGAAGCTTTGTGACAGTTTATGCCTATGCTCAACTATTGATATTTAATTAGCAGTCGTATCTTATTTGCTAATGTCTCTATTCTTGAAAAAGATTTCAAATTGAGCAATGAGCTTCTATTCAGAATCAGGTATTAGGAAAATGGTGAAATCAAGCGAGAAAAGAAAGGCATGGTCTATAAAAGTACTTCATAAAAAGAATAAGTGGAAACCTTGCTTGCTAAGTTAGAAATCTTGTTGTGGGCTTTCTTTTTGTTAGTGTACAATGGAACAAATTGGTGGAAATTTGTTACATAGGTACAGTAGTGTTTACCTGCATTTGCACAAAGAACCTAAGCCATGGGTTGCTTAACTGTAATTTACTTAATAGTTTATAATGGCTTTGTGTAAATATCTGCAAAAGTAAAAGGGGTTAGGCAATAAAACAGTCTATCGTTATAACCCCAGTCAAAAATGCTGATGAAATAGCAAGGGATTTGTTCTTCTAAATAGTTACTCTCAACAGCATTAAGAAAAGAATAATCCAGACACTGTGCAGTGCTTAATTTGAGTGTTCCTGGTGGACCTTCTCTGTCACATTGAAGGAGTTACCATGATGCTAATAGGTTGTAGAGAGGCAGCATTCTTGGTGGGTTGCAGCATATGTTGCTTTTGAAGGAGTATTTATGGGACAGAATCAGGTAAAAGATCAAGAAGGATCATATATGTAGAAGCAAACTCATAAATATAATAAGTGCAACTTGTCATTATTATATCTCAACATCTTATTTTTGTCTGCTTAAATTATGAATTTCTCTTTTTTCTTAAACAAGGGTTTTTTAAAACAATGCACAAAGAAAAATAAGTCAAGAAAAATATGATAGGAACAAAGGTTGGAAATAAATAGCAGGTTCCATATTTTTCAGAGGCAGTTCTGTAATAAAATGGTAATAATATTTGATATCACTGATTATTTTTATATAATTATGTACTATTTTTGAATCTAAAATTTCAATAGAATAGGAAGATCTTGCAGCAATTAATCATTTCTGTCTTTGAGCAGCTCAGAGTATCACATAAACATTATTACTGTCAGCTATATAAAATGTATTTTCCTTTTCATCGTATATTTTAATATGGAGATAGCAGTTTTTCAGCTGCATAGACTAGATTGAGAGCAATGTGACATGAGGTCCCTTTGTGTTTATATGGTTCCAGAATCATTGATTGCAAAACATTGCTGATATGTATATTGGAGTCAAATAAAAATGGTACATTCCTAGTACTGTACTTCGTGGTATAGACTATTATCTAGTCATGAAATTACAATGATATTTTAAGTCTATTTGTTTCTTTTATCAGTGTTTCATTATGATTTAATAGTATGTCCCCCTTCCCCCCCGATAATCCAATTTTACATGGTGAATCATGAGCTATTCACTCAGAAGAAATGGGAACTAATTTTCTTACCTGATATTTTTAAGCAGTCGCACATTTGAAATATGAAGTTGTTTATTGTTCATGTGTTTCATGCTATTTTTATTCATGTGTTTCATTCATATATGTATACGCTGTATGTATGTATGTCTGAAAGAAATGCAAACAGCATTTTGTATAATCATGGGATTTCACATGATAATCTGCTATAAAATATTTAAAGCCAGGTTGTCTAACTTCAGTCTTGTTCTAGTTTCAATACTATACATGCTTCTTTGGAAACACGTCCCACTAGAAAAGCTTCTGAATATAATTGAGGTGTAACACTCACTTCCATTCAATTAAAATCTCTCTCTCTCTCTCCCTCTTTCTCTCCCTCTTTCTCTCCCTCTCTCTCTCTCTCTCTCTCTCTCTCTTTAAAGAATAAAGGATCACTTCAGTTTGAAGACAAATGGGATTTTATGCGCCCAATTGTTCTGAAGCTTTTACGGCAGGAATCTGTTACTAAACAACAGTGGTTTGATCTATTTTCGTAAGTAACTTCTAAAATGTCTCTTTCTTGGAATAGAAAACTATTTTTTGTTCTGCAGTGTCTTATCAGAATGGTTCAAAGGAAGACACTGATGGATTTCTCACAGGAATTTGTTTTAAGTACGTCTGTGCTGACTGTTAAGGGCTGTTGAAGATCTTACATTTACAACCAAAGCAATTAAGATGAGGCATCATATACTAAAAGGCATAATCTAGGAAAAAAAGACAACGTATTAACATATAGGATATTAACTTTTGTATCTTTAGCTTCAAATGTCATAAGAACTTTGGTTTAGGCTGCTTGTGTTTTTATCTGCAAACGAAAAATGTGAGAATCTGATTGCTTCTTTAATTAATTGTTCTTTCAAGCATTAATAGTGAATTTACATATTCATTTATAAAACGTGTATTACATGTCAAGAAGATAGTATTGTATTATTCTTTCCCCTACTTTAGTTATGATCAGCATAGTATTGTTGGCATTTCATTTAGTTAGTTTTTTGGGGGATCTGTGCATTTTTGGTGCCCACACAAAAACAATTTATTATATAACACGTCAAATAAATTGAGAAATTATTTTAACTTGATTTGGATTTGCATGTTTTGTAGAGATGTCCATGGCGTTTGTTTGTGGGATGATAAAGGCCCAGCAAAAATACATCAGGCCTTGAAAGAAGATATCCTTGATTTTATTAAACAAGCACAAGCAGTAAGTTAAACATAATTGGCAAGTATTTTTAATAATATGATATTTTTATTAAATTTTACATCCACCTTTGAGTTAAGAACTCCGACACCTCATTCAAATGCTTCCTGATAGGATACTGTGTATCATGCACAAAAAAACCTCAGTACTGTAACACCTAAACTGTAGTTTGGATTCAAACCAAATTAGTCACTGTAAAATCAGTATAAATGTTTTGTCTTGATTAATCTGGATTCAATTAAATTAACAGGAGTTAAGTATGGATAATCTAGTCTATACTTGTATACTTAAATTAGTTTCCATATATATTCCATATATCAATAGCAAACATATACTGTCATCACCCTGTACATGTTTGCTTTAGTCTAGGCCTCCAAAATACAATTAAGACTAATCTCTGAACTGAACATTCTGATTGTGCTATACAATTTTTTACATGGAAATTGTATGCCTGTATTTTTCTGAAGAACTCTTGATAATGCTTCTATGTCAATAAAATCTCATTTTAAAAGTTAAATATTGCAGAACCACATTTTATAATGTTTCTTCATTTATATCGAGCAGCTCATTACACATTTTGATACCCATTCTCAGTTCATTTATGTTACCTATTTAGAAAGCAGTCTATGAAAACATATTATTAAATACCTGCATTTGTTTGGTTAAAAAATTTTTTTTTTATTCAAATGCACTGAGAGTAAATACAGCTAAGCATCAAAAATTCTGAGGACATACTTCCAAATAAGCATGCATAGTATCATTCCATATAGTACATGATTCATAGTTTTGAATACATTTCAGGTTATTACTTCAGTGGCTTGATAACTTCTAAGGCTTAAGTATAAGAAGCTGGCATCTTAAGCTCTCTTTCATATTCTTGATGTTTTTCTTTAGCAGTTGTTTCCTTAATTTCAGGCCCATTTTCTGAAAAAATATGTTATTGTGTTGATGTTTGTGTATGTATACATTCACACCCGCTCACATGAAGTTAAACCTCAATATCCAAAATGAAATGAGCGGGAGTGTAATGTCTACTTCTCCATGAAGTGGAAATTCTTTCTAAATGTTTTCGTATTTGCCCTTCTCTTGCTTTCAGAGAGTGCTGAGCCACCAAGATGATACTGCATTACTGAAAGCCTATATTGTAGAATGGCGTAAATTCTTCACACAATGTGATATCTTACCCAAGCCATTTTGTCAGTTAGAAATTACTCTCATGGGTAAACAAGGCAGCAATAAAAAATCCAATGTAGAAGACAGTATTGTACGGAAGGTAAGTGCTAGGTTTCATTGTAGCCTTGTTTCGTGGTGAAGTAGAAGAATGAAATGCTGTACCTCTAATCAGTAGGTCTTTTGGGGAACCAATGAGATGGGAGTAAAGAATATGCAGGGTTTGATTCATCCAGAGTTTTTCTTCATGCAGATTTTTTTTAAAAAAAGTAAAAGTAAATAGTAGGAGATGGGAAAAGTTAAGCCAGATGTAACAACCATGAGGTTTCTGCTGTTGGCTGCCCTAAATACTGCAACTTATTTTTAGTGATATTGAATTTTATCTATGGCAAGGGCAAATTTCAAACTCGCAGCTTTTTTTGTTTTCAGAAATGAGTAATTTCCATCAGTCTTCATCTCCATGGTAACTGTATACTAATTGTGCCCTCTGCTTATAAATGCAGACTCAGCTTTGAATTATTGAACCATAGACCTCATAGCCATGGCATGCTTTTTTAAAAAAATATTTTTTTTCTCTTTTCCTTCTGGTTCAGAGAGAAATACAATTTATTTTAAATCTGCCAGATCCTTTAAACCTAAAAATAAAATAAAAGTTATGTTTTGTGTTTTAGAAATCAGTCCATCATGTTTACTGTTTAATTATTATTGTATTTTTAGCTCATGCTAGATACCTGGAATGAGTCCATATTTTCAAACATAAAAACTCGCCTTCAAGACAGTGCAATGAAGTTGGTCCATGCTGAACGTTTAGGAGAAGCATTTGACTCTCAACTTGTCATTGGTGTTAGAGAATCTTACGGTATGTCTTGTTATGTAAGATTATTACATTTTATATGAAAATTATTCTTGCATTCTTCAAGTAGGCTTACACTAGTAAGCTTTAATCTTTTTTAGAAGTGTTAAGGAGTAATACATATATACAAACGTGTGTGTGTGTAAGTGAGTGTGTATAATGATTTAAGTCATTGCAATAAAAAGTTCAGTCAATTTGTTTTCTTAATACTGCCATGCCAAGTTAGAACTTTAAGTCTCCATGTGAAGTTTAAATGACCAAGAAACTGCAGGGTTTTTCACAAGCTTCAACTTCTGTCTTTTCTCATCTGGTAAGTAAGGGTTTATATCGGACACCTCAGTGGAAAATTTTTATTGCTTTTTGCATAGGAAAAACCTACAAAATGGAAGTAAAAATAAATCAAAACCCATGGTCTGGGAATATGAATTAATTTAAGATGGTGGCTATGAATGTAATGTAGTCAGTCCAAAAACTTTCAGCATGCTTTTGAATTTAAAACATCAAGATCAGCCTCTTTAAAATATATTTTATTATTCCCCAAATTGCTTGAGAGCCATTCTGACAAGTAGTGATTTTATATTCAAATTATTGTAGTTTATACAACTCCTGTTTTCAAGATTAAGTATATTTCTTACAGTGATAAGCAATTACTTAAATTTGATATTTCTTGTTGCAGTTAATCTGTGTTCCAATCCTGATGATAAACTCCAGATTTATCGGGATAATTTTGAAAAAGCATACCTAGATTCAACAGAGAGATTTTATAGAACTCAGGCCCCTTCGTATTTGCAGCAGAATGGTGTACAGAACTATATGAAATATGTAAGTGTGAAGGTGTTCTTCTGAAGAAGTCTGTTGGTTACATATTAATATTTTAAGTGATGATATTCTGTTTCTGCACAGGCAGATGCTAAATTAAAGGAAGAAGAAAAAAGAGCACTACGGTATTTAGAAACAAGGCGTGAATGTAACTCTGTAGAAGCAGTAAGTACTCTTTTAATAATATCATTAATATGTTAAAAGGTTTCGTAAATTAAATCACTACTTATACAAGTCTGAAAATACTCAACCTTGGTTTTTTTAAAATCTAGTTATGGAATATCTGATTGCATTAACATAGTACCAGATACCATGTGCAATTAAAAACAAAAATTCCATAAGGTCAAAGATAGTCCTCTGTTGCAGAAGTTGACGCAAGATAATTATTCCTTTTACCAAGCAGACCCTTCTGTTTCTAAAAGTGTAAACATAACAGTTGCTGTTTCATAACCATGAGCAAATTTGTGTTTATGGTTCTTTGTTGAAATTGCTCTTTTAAGAAAACAATGCTATGCATTGATTGATTTGTAAATATGAAAAAATGTGACCATCATAATAAAGATTAATATACTTCTAGTAAAATAATCAGCTTGCACTGATAATTGTTACTTAGTAGGGTAATGAACCATCTGCAAGCAAAATAACCAAGTTCAGAGAGCACTTAGGAGTTCTCTGGTATACTAAAGACTTTTATACTTTATAAATGTATAATAACAGTACATGGTATCCTCTCCCAGCATGGTGCATTCTAGGACATACGAGATATTAAATATATTAGGAAACTACAAATCTTGGAAAATCAGAAAGTATATTGTTCCACATGCTTGACCTGCTGACTTAGACACCAGAGTTTTGATGCCACTTGTGTTGTCTTGCCAGCTAAGACTTTCGTACTGTCCTTCGGATGTCGGAAGGTTAAGAATCACTGTTTTATTTACCTAAGCAGATATGTTATTAATAGTATTTTAATACTTCTCCATGGTCTTTGCCATTCTCCTCTTTAGATATTGTATACATCTTGGGTGGGGAGAAGGCGAAACTCAATGTTTTGTAGTATTGCATGAACTTTCCCATTCCATGCAAATGTATTGAAACAATAATATTCTGAGTACATTTGAACGTTAACTTTTTTTTTTCCCCCTCCCAGCTTATGGAGTGCTGTGTGAATGCTTTGGTGACTTCCTTTAAAGAGACAATTTTAGCTGAATGCCAAGGCATGATCAAACGCAATGAAACAGAAAGTAAGTGAAGCTATGGAAAGTAAAAAAGAAAAGTGTGTCCTCCCTTGATCCGTGCAGATAGTTGGAGTAAAAATGGATTACAATTCTTTTGTTATTAAAGACAGAAGGAAACTATTACAGTGTAGTTAAAACTTATTCTCTGCCCTACACCATTTTGGTTACATGTTTTAAACTATAATGCAGTGCTGTTTTCATTTTTGTCATTACTTATAATCGTCCCTTCTTCTAAGATGTTAGAACTGTTGATCTTTAAAATTGTAGGTAAAATAGATGGGTCTGGTTATTCATTGCTCTTATTAGTGAAATAAGGATTCAGTTGACTTGTTCCTAGTCCAAATCATCTCTTGTATCACATATATCTGTTTAATGTAATTTTTTTGTCTAGTCTTATTCTTGAACACAAGTTACTTTAGTAATATATGGGAATACAATTCCCTTCTAAACCCTTTATACTACTCTATTATATATTTTCTCTCTTTATTCAAATATATTGGCTTCCTATCTCGAGCACAAGGGTAGATCTGGTGGCTAAATGGCCTCTTCCAACTTTGTTATTTTAATCAGCCTTTCAGGATTACAAAGAATTTGCTGTTTAAATATACAAGTATGTCTTTAAGCCCTAGGAATCCTATTAAGCTATGCATCTTTTTGTCCAGGGCTTGTCTTGATGTTGTTTCCTCCATATTATTTTCCGTTTTTTTTAAACAGAGTGAACCAATTATGAAATTTGGGAAAAGTGAATTAGAGAAACCAAATGTTTTGTTACAGTCCATAAATATACTTTATGATTACACGGTGTATTCTATGTAATAAGAAAATTGAAAGCTGTTCCTTACTTGAAACAGTTGCTATTAGTTCAGAGTTGCATTTCTAATTTCCAGAGTGAAAGCTGGGTTGGCATCTGACCTTAAAAATAATTCTGGCTCCCTATCTTGACAGCAGTTCTTTGGCATTCATCCAGGGCTGAATATAGTAAGATATTATACCTTATGCAAATATATTTCTTTCAGCTCTTAAGGGGAATGAAATTTTATGGAAAGTGGCAACAATAAAGGCAGCTTGGTGACCAAAATAGTCTTCCTTGCATAATCCTATGAAAGGCGATGGGAAGTTGGTGCATAAAGCAGCATTTCCCACATAGTTTGTTCTGTCTCTGAAGCTTGTCTTGAATAGTATGCCATTAAACATTCCTGTGAAGGTAATTGGATATAATAAACAGGACTCTGCAAAGTGGTTGCACTAATGCTTTGCAGAGCAGTCCCTGAAGCATTAAAGCAGCCATGTTTTTGGGAAGGCTCATGTACCTTCTTTGAAGGCTGTTTGTCCTGTCTGCATGTGTAGCTCTACCAGCAAAGCATCTGTGCATGCACGTGAATGCACAAGCTGCCAGGACAGACTTTGAAGCAGTTTGGAGAGGTCTAATCCACTCTTTAAAATTCCATGGTGGCGCAGTGGTTAGAGTGCAGTACTGCAGGCTACTTCTGCTGACTGCTGGCTGCCTGCAATTTGGCAGTTCAAATCTCACCAGGCTCAAGGTTGACTCAGCCTTCCATCCTTCCGAGGTGGGTAAAATGAGGACCCAACTTGTTGGGGCAATAAGCTGACTCTATAAATCGCTTCGAGAGGGTTGTAAAGGACTGTGAAGCGAAATATAAGTGCTATTGCTATTGCTTTGCATAGCCCCAAATTATGAGCATTGTGCCTGCTTCCTAATCCAAATGATTTAATCATGATTTGTCTTACATTTACCTAGTATCAATACATAATAACAATCTGCAACAAATTTGTTGAAAAAGCCAGCTCTTTGATATCTTCCTGTGAAGGACTTTTTAAAGATGGGCCAGGAACTGTGCTTCTGATTGCTGTCACTGACTCCCTTACTAATTAAGCTGATTTATCCTTGAGAAACAATGCTGACTTCAAATTAAAATATATGAACGAAATCCTGGGTGACTTCAAGGACAGTTTTCTTGGTACAGAAGTAGTGGCAAAGCTACAGTGTTCTTCTGGGCTTATTGTCTCCTTCCCCAAATATCAACTAGAATTGATTCTGCTTAGCTTTTCAATATAAATCAAGGTGAAATTGATACTACCAATCAGGACAATTCTTTGTTAACCAGAAAAAAAACCCAGAAGTTAAATCTTTTGAATTCAATTTTTGAATCTGCAAAGTAATTTTCTTTCTTCTCCTCAGCCCCCTTTCTCTGTCTAAATTCTCTTTACAAAAATTAAGTGTATATTCAGCAAATAACATATCCCATAACAGTTTATTAGTGTGTAAGGTTTTGAGGAGTCTGCTTGGAATATAGTCCTGAAACATGGATATACATTTGGTTATGTTGAATTGATTACTACAGAGATGGTATTTAATAAGAAACCTTGGTATTCTTTCCTGAAAAACTGAGTTATGTCTGCTAAGCAGTCCGTTTCTCAGAAATTAGCTGAGTACCAAATTTTCTTAGCATGAAATACAAGAATCTCTATATCACCTCTAACCACTGTTAATGATCACTATCTCTTTACCATTTTGATTTCTTTTATAATTTCTTGCCTTCCATTTAGTATTTGTGTTCATGTGAGTGTATTTGTATTATTTCCTCAGGTCTATATTCAGATGAAATGGGCTGTAATTTATAAATCCTTATAGAGTAGCACATACAGATATCATTAAAGTGCCAGAAGATTCTTTTGTTTCTATATTACAAAAGACAGAGTAAAAATAGTCCTTGGGAAATTTCTTAATGTATATGTAATGACTAGTTTCTAAGGATTGTGGTTTTGTATTGTTTTATATGTATTGCAGTAATGAAAGTGTTATGCTGGGGGGGTGGGGGAGAGGAAATTGGTTCAAGGACAGGAACATGATTTTCAAACCAAGCTCTAAGTTTGGTAGTCAGGAATTGCGGGAACCAGAAACTTGGAACAAGTTTGCTATTTAATTTCAAATCAGACTTCCTAGAAATTTTTTCAGTAGTTTGTCGAGTTTATTAGAAAATTAGGACAACATGAAATCAACATTCTTTAAAGAGAAACAGAATATAGTATTTTTGTCACCTTTACAAATCTCCTTGAATGGTTTTTATTTGACAGTAAACAAGAGTAATACTGTATATAAAGAAAAGAGAGATGGACAGATGAACTATTACCATGGATTTGACTTGTCTTCAATATGTTTTGTCTTCAGAATTACATTTAATGTTTTCTTTGATGGATAAAGTTCCTAATGGAATAGAGCCTATGTTAAAAGATTTAGAAGAGCATATTGTTAATGCTGGATTAGCAGATATGGTAGCAGCTGCTGAAACTATAACTACTGTAAGTGAGCATTTTCTATTTTTATCCCTTATCTCCTCTTAAGAGTGTTCGCTAGGAATACCAAGAATGTTTGGCAAAATAGAATCTTACATTGCTGAAATTAATATGAAAAAATTGAATGTTAAACTAAATTAAATAGGAAAGTACTACAACTTCTTTAAAAATTAGAATGCAAAATCACAAAGGACTTCATCCATGGTTTGGAAGCTAGATTATCTGACACTCTGGCTTTCACCTCATATTGGAAAGCAGCCTATTTTATTTCTCTGGCTTGTTCTGAGAGCAACAAGCAAGAATCCTGGCTTTGAAACATTTTGTTCTATTTGTGATTTTTTTTAAAAACTATCACTTGAAAGCATCCTTGCTTGCAGGACTAGCCAAACTAACAACTGGAACCTAGTCATTGAAGTGAAGATTGGATATAATGCCTTACAGTGCGCTCTTTGCTTAGAATGATGTTCCTACTGTGAAGCCAGCCAGTTGTCAGCTTCATCCAGTGATTCAACCAGCATCAGTGTAGCCATCCATAAAGGAGGAGCAACCTTGTGATTTTTTTTTTGCTGTTTGTTCTTATAAAACAATTATATCTGAATTAGCTGCTTAAATACGGCATTAGGTAGCTGAAATAGATAGTTAAAGGTGGAATCAAGATTTTCTCTAAGAAGCATATTTTTGTGGCAACTTCTTATGATTTTTTTTCTATCGATAAAAAGAGAGGTTAAAAAGCAGATGAAGTAATCTAAGACCATTTATTCTATGTATTGAGGCAGCATTTTTATTTTTAATTTGTCATCATAGTTGCTTTATTCTGACAGAGCTGTTTAGACAGAAATCTTCACAGCTAGTGCAGCTAATGTAATGAAATTAAAGTAAAAACCTTTTCCTTACCCCTATAAATTTTGTTTAACACTCAGGCTGTCAAAGAGTCAACAAAAACTATCGCAGTATCTTATAACATCCTATGACTTTTAGGTATGTTTGGGTTTCATGCTGATGCCATGTGGAATCATGGCTAAAGAAAACAAGAAAGTTGAAAACAAGTGGGAGAATGTCGTATTGGGTTGGCAGCTGGTAACTTTTCTGGAGACTAACTTGCACAAAGTGTGATTTTCTGAGATATAAACTAGACCACAAGAAGACCATTTGTACCTTATTGTAATATTCCTGGGCTCATGACTGCTATACCAGAAATGCAGTTGGAAGAGGGAGGGAGGGAGATTTCGGTTGATTATGATTGCTTGCTATTTTTTTTTCTCACAGGCTTGATATTTTATTCTTTGTTTTGCTTTTCAATTTTAGGATTCTGAAAAATATGTAGAACAATTGCTTACACTGTTTAATAGATTTAGCAAATTAGTTAAAGAAGCTTTTCAAGATGACCCAAGATTTCTTACTGCCAGAGATAAAGTAAGTTATCAGCTGGTTCTTGTTTCATTTTTTTTGATAATACATGTTTACATGTATTTGGTTTTTTTAAAACAGAAAGTGACTTAGAAATATGTTAAATAAGCATTAGTCAGGGTGTTTATGAAATCATACCAGTAAATTACCAGAAATTGGGCTTTCTGTAGAGATTTAGCTATTGAGATAGTAGGATTTTATTTATATATTTGCGTTGCTATACTTGTAATCTTGCTTTAATAATAAGATTCATCAGTATCTTCATGAAAATCATTATTAATTAGAGAGTTTTCAAATAATCACAGGGTAGAATTGAAAATACTTCAAATTTCACAAAAAAGTGAGCAAATGTCTCTAGCATGACATAACATCTTACAACGCAGAAATAACATTTTAAAAGATATTGATAGGCTAGAGGAAATGTAATGCCTCCTAATCTGGCAACAGTACTTAGAAAAATCATTTTGGAATATCCTTTATTACAAACTAAATAAAAGTAAAGGTGCCTTCCAGGGGTAAGACGTGACAAACCTTCCCTCAGCTAGGAAGTTAAGAAGAACCAGACCTTGTTAGTACGTGGATAAGACACTCTCAGGGAGTCCCACTGAGACATTTTTGTCAAGGATCACAGAAATAATAGTATCACTGTATACTTCAATTCACCTTGAAGATCTAGAAATATAAACAGATTACAGCAGGGTAACAAGATACAGAAAAATATCTGAACCTTTGGGCTAATTTGGTATAGTAGCATCTTGCAGACTTACATCTATGTCCCCTTCCTTTCTTCTGTGTCCTTTCCCCCCTTCCTCATGAGCAACAGTAACCTTCAAACTTCACCCTGAAAGTAGCGAGTATCTTAAGACATTTTCTGTGCTTTGGCTATTTTCCCAATGTAATGTAGGAATTTTGTTCTTAAGAAGAGTGACTTTTAAAATGAACATAGCTTTGTTTTTAAGAACATACTTCGATATGAAAAAGTAGATTGAATGCCTATATTGAATGCCTTGTTTTTTATTTTAGGCATATAAAGCAGTTGTTAATGATGCTACAATATTTAAACTTGAATTACCATTGAAACAGAAGGGGTAAGTAATCTGAATGAATACTTGACAATAACAGAATTTAATTTTTGTTTATATTTTGAATGGATATTTAGTATTTTCCTTGTTTTCTGTAATGCTTAAATATACCTATTTTTAACCTGGGTAATTCCAAACTTTGGGAAAAAAAGCGCACAGAAGCATGTACATAGTACTAAATCTCAGATACTCAGATATGTATATCTACATATCTACTCTTAAAACAGCCAAAATCCATTGTTCTGGTTTAATGCATTTCCAAAGCCCATTACTGATAATGTTGGTGATAACCATAGGATTATATTAAAAAATGAATGATTCTAGACATGTTTGCTTATTCACTTAGAACTATTGTTATGATTTTGAAGCACATTAAATCGGCAATAGTATAGGAAATGTCTTGACAATTCCTTTAGGATCTTACAGTATTTAAATTTTCATTTCTCATGCATATTGAACTGCTTTTCTGTAGCTTCCCATATATGTATTATTTTATATTTTTAAATTATATGTACAAATTAATATAGTCACTTTGAAATAAAAGAAATAAATTTACACAATGCAAACATGTAAACATATTGATTGTTTTTACATAAGGCATTTCTCCTTTTTTGTTCATAGATGAATGAGTTGGTATAATGGCAGGAAACCAATGTTAGTGATTCGGTATAACTTTTGGCTACTATTTTTCCTTTTTTCCTTAGTGTTGGATTGAAGACACAACCAGAGTCCAAATGCCCAGAGTTACTTGCAAATTATTGTGATATGTTATTAAGAAAAACACCACTAAGCAAAAAATTAACCTCTGAAGAAATTGAAGCAAAACTTAAAGAAGTGGTATGTTCTTTTTTATTCCTAGTTTTTTATTTGAGAGAAATAAATGTGAAGATTGGGTAATATCTTTGATAGCCTTTCTGCTATCAAAACTATCAGAACATTGCTCTATTTCTTTCAATCTGAATTAATAGAAGTGAGAGGTCAGTTATGATTAGAATGCAGTGATATGTTGGTTTAATCCTTAAAATAGTAGCTGATGAGGGCAAGGTGTCATCCATAATACAGCTAATGATTATAAATCAGTAATAATGCAGTCCTGTACTTGAGCACTCAAAGGTTCTACTGAGTGTGTGATATTTCCATAAGAAGTAAGTTTAAGATTGTGGTTTTATTTTTGTAATCTTCACTGGATTTAAATGAAACTTTCAATTTATTAGTTGTTGCCAAAGTTTATTTCAAAAATAAACGTCTAAAAAAGTAATATTTCCTTGTTTCTGATATTGTTGACATTCTGTTTCTCCCTGGAGAGAGAGGAAAAGGGAGAGAGGAAGCCTGCTACATCTAAAATTAAATTTCATCTTAAGAAACTGCATGCTATAGGTTGGAGAGATGTTTTAGCAAATGGCCATCTTTCAAAATTGCTTTTTAGAGAAACTATCTCAACATATTTTATTTAAAGCTATGCTCTTTGAAAATGTGATACAGTAAAGTTTGTTATATTTAAATCTTTTTGAAATCTGATCATATATAGATTTTTAGTTAAAGGTGACTATTTGATGATAGTAGGAGTTTAATACTATCAAACTAGTGGAGCTTCAGTATATTAACGTACGTAATTTGCACCTCAGAACATTTCCTATCACTGATTAGCGATTTCAATCCTTATTGGGAACTAGCAATTGTGTTTCATTTTGGGACTGTTCATATTCAAATATTTTAAGTGGTGGATATTGTATACTGCCTTTTGATTACAAACATATTTTAGCTATTTAAAATATGATCAAAAGGCAGTAATATGGACGTGTCTGTATAAATGATGATATATTTTGTTCAATGGTGATTGAATATGGTGATACATGTAAGGATTTTTGAAGGGTGGGGTTAATACAGGGATATATTATTCCTGATAAAATATATTCTGGTATTGCTGTTCTGCAATAGGAGTAAATACTAATAGCAATCGTGAAAATATGTATCATGCTTTTTAAAAACAGCTATTGGTACTCAAGTATGTACAGAACAAAGATGTTTTTATGAGATACCACAAAGCTCATTTAACAAGGCGTCTTATATTGGATATATCAGCAGACAGTGAAATAGAAGAGAACATGGTTGAATGGCTGCGGGTAAGTTCATCAATTCTGTTATATACTCTTTTCTTTAGAAAGCATAGCTTTTAATTTAAAATCACACATATTGTGAATTATTGAATCTTATCTGTGGCCTGGTCTTTAAGTTAATGTTATCAAGTGGTTTATTCAATTTTTTAAAAAATAAAATTTGAACTTTGTACGTTAAGGTCCTAACAATGATTTAACAAAGATTTATATAGAAAGAATAGCTAGTTGGCCTGTGGTTTGAATCCAGCTTCTTGCTTTTCCCCTCATGCATGAATGTAGTGAAGAACTGAAGAATTTCTTTTCCAGTTTGGTACATTTTATGCGGGAAATAAATTGTTCTTATGTTACGTTAGTATGTGGATATTGCTAGTTGTAATACCTACTCAGAGCTGTACAAAACCACTCGGGCTTTGTTACAATTCAAGAGGTGGGTTTGAAGGGGCACTTCACTTGCTTTGCAAAGAGTCTTTGAAATGATTTTGCATGGCCCTAATTGTTAACAAAAAAGATCAGTAGTAAGTATTTAGTGTATTTAAATCATATAGTTATTGCTTCAATCCTCTCTCTTTGCAGGAAGTAGGTATGCCAGCAGATTATGTAAATAAATTGGCAAGGATGTTTCAGGATATTAAGGTATCTGAAGATCTTAACCAGGCCTTCAAGGAAATGCACAAAAATAATAAACTGGCCCTCCCAGGTACTTTTTATACTTGTTACTTTTTAAAATTCTCAGTGTTATAGAAAGATTATTTATATTTGTTTATCTTGCTTTTTATCATTAACAAATCCATATTGGATAACTATAATACAAAATTGTGCATTCAGTTTCTTTGACTTCGTTCATATATTGGTTGATAGTTTTAGTGTTACTTGGCTGAGCTTTCTGTTTGTTTTGTGTACAGCTGATTCTGTGAATATTAAAATTTTAAATGCTGGGGCTTGGTCCAGAAGTTCTGAAAAAGTTTTTGTATCACTGCCAACGGAATTAGAAGATCTTATCCCCGAGGTTGAAGAGTTCTACAAAAAGAACCACAGTGGCCGGAAGCTTCACTGGCATCATTTAATGTCCAATGGAATTGTAAGCATGCCTGTGTCACTTGTTTGCATTTTGGTTTTTGGCACCCTGAAATTACAAGCACATTTAAATTCACTTGCTAATTTTTGGTCATTAACAGATAACTTTCAAGAATGAAGTTGGCCAGTATGATTTGGAAGTTACTACGTTTCAATTGGCTGTGCTTTTTGCATGGAATCAAAGACCCCGAGAAAAAATTAGTTTTGAAAACCTTAAACTAGCGACAGAACTTCCAGATGCTGAGCTTAGGAGAACTTTATGGGTAAGTATTTGGCTCTTTGATCATATTATAATAGCATTATGGGAACATTCATATTAATGTAGGAAACAAAGAAACTTAAATCTTTTCTACTTTTAAAATAAAACCTGTCTTTGAAATATGACTCCTAGGAAGGAAAGATGAGAACTTATTATCTGTTAAAAAATAATTGCATTCGTAATATTGCATTTTTCAAAGAAGCTACTATCCCTGGCTCAGTTTGTTACTGCATGACTATCATGCTCAGAACTGTATTACTCTAAATGAGATCTGACCAGAAAAACAACAAATAACTTCCTTTGATCAGGACTGATTCTGTTATAAGAATACTTAGGTTCTTTTTCCATACTACGAAATCAGTTTCCCTCATCTTATACATACACCTTCATTTTTCTACCTAAATGAAGGACTTTATATTTCTGCCTGTTAAATTCTATCCTCTGCATTTAAGCCCATTGCACAAGCTTGGCTAGATGTTTTCTAATCTTTTCTCTGTCCTCTAAAGTATTAGCCCTGCTCTCCAGCTTTGCATTGTGTAGAATAGAATAGAATACTTTATTGGCCAATTGTGATTGGACACATATGGAATTTGTCTACAAAAAATGTTAGCCCAAGGGCCAGAACATAACTCTCTAGTATTCTGCTCAAAGCTTCTATCCAAGCTGAAGTTAATAAACACTCCTGTTTGTTAACCAGTTCGACTTCGTTCTAAAACACATTGAAGGGGGAGGAACTTTCTGGCTGACGTCCTCTCCCACATGCCCCAGTACAAATGCAAACGTGAGGACGTCGTAGATGCCATCATCCCCTCTACCCAAATAGCTGACCAAGTAGCTGCCCAAATAGAATTATTCTATTGGTAAAAGTAGTGTCATCTAGCTGTTGGTTTGCCAATTATCTTCTTCCTAGGACTGAGAGAGAATGACTGGATCAAGATAACCCAGTTGGCTTTATAGCTAAATCAGGTTTAAAATTCATGGTCTCTTGCTCGGAGCCTTATCTACTACACCAAATTGGCTCTCATCCCAAACCAGCATTTCTGTATTGCTACTTTCTGGTTGCTTAGGTAGAAGAAACTGGTAAACTCTTAAAAAGAAAAACCTGAATACGGTGTGCTGTTTTATTGCATTGGACTGTCTAAAGTGCAAAAGAATGCCAAACCTAATCTAGTATGTCTTTAAAAGGCTGCATGAGTAACTTACATAACAATCTTCTTAAAAGCATATTTAACAAGCTGATAAATATTTGGAACATCCTACCAAAATGCATTTAAAGTATTTATTATATCAGCAGTTTTCCATATATTTTTCACTATATATTTTCTCTAAATGTATCTGGAATTGAAATGGAGTCTTTTGAATAAATAAAATACATGTTCTGCCTTATTTATCATTTCTTTGCACTCTTATTCTTTAAAAAGCAATTTCATTTGCCTCTGTTGCATTGATTCTGCATTCAGTTCAGATAAGTCTTTCAGAATATTTCTCTTAAAGCTTGGATAAATGCATCTGTCACAAAATAGTTTCCATAAAGTGTTTTTCATTTATATGTGAATAAAATAATATTTTGCCAATTCATTGCAAATTATAGATCAAATTATAAGATGCTGTCCTTATTCATATTCACATTGATAGACCAATATTTTCCATTTCAATTTCTCTTAATCCTTATTTTATCTTGCTTTCATATTAGTTATAGCTTTGTGAAATATATTAAAAGAAGGTATATGTTTTGTTATGTCTTTTTGCTAATATATGCATTTTAATGTTTATGTTTTGATTAGTCTAAAATGGCTTGCTGATATCAGGTTATTATCAGGTTACATTTCAGGATGATCAAATGTAATACATAAGGCTTTTCTTTAACATCTAATTAAGGTAACTAAAATTATTAGCTTTTGCTTAGGAAATTAAATGAATTTTGACAATTAAGGCATGACAAAATTTGATCTCTATATTTGATCTATATTTGATGATATTTGATTCACAGCCTTCTTTTCTCTTTCCTAATTTACAGTCTCTTGTAGCATTTCCAAAGTTGAAACGTCAAGTTTTGCTGTATGAACCTCTAGTCAATTCACCCAAAGACTTTACAGAGGGAACTCTCTTCTCAGTGAACCAGGAGTTCAGTTTAATGTAAGAAGTGATAACTGGCTTACTCACAAATGTTTTAGGGATATCCAAAGATAACATTTAATATTGAATAGTTCAACTGGTCTTAAAGTTGAATAAAGTTAATAATATATTAGAATTAAATTACAATTTTTTTACAGTTTGAAATTGTAAGAGTTAAATGTTTTGCTATACTGTATGTTCAGCTTTAGAAATACAAATCTTTCCTTTCCTGAAATTTCAGTTCGTCAAAGCTATTATATTGACTGAAGACCAGAATTTAAGTATTCTTTGGATTATTTTAAATCAAACAGATTTAAATTCTTTACAAGTTTTATTGAAATAAATTACAACTATCTTATTTTGCTAATGAAGGATCTTGCCAAACCCATTTCTTTAAAATGACCAGACATCTTTAAAGCAGAACTGTAAAATATATAACTGTATAGTATAGGTAACTCCATCTCCCTTGTTTTCATCCCTTAAGTATTCCAGTAATGCACTAAGTATTATCCTGTGGATTGCCTTCCCTGGACCATAATCTTCTGCTTCTGAGAAAGTTATTCTTAGTTCATTAGAATTTTTAAAGTAGTACCGTAGATAAAAATTCTTTGTGATTGCAATTTGTCATAATTGCAAACTGGCTGTTAAGCACTTGAATTGTGTTCCAGTGACTACAGGGCTGCTGCAGTGGCCAGAACTTTGAGGAAAAGTTGTAAATCCCTTGGTTCAGTGCCATCATAATATCAAACAGATTATCGTTAACATATGAATGCCCAAAGAGATGAAATACTACGCATAGTATAGTTTATATTAGATGGGCATCCATATAGCAGCAGTGGGTTTTTTATGTTTCTAAGGTAGAATAGCAGGACTCCTGAGGTCAGTTTGAATTCTGAAATTTCATGGCATAACCATGCAGAATGCTTGGTAACAATGCAGAACAATTCTTTTTGATACAGTTTTACTTTTCAGTCTTTCTTCCAGCTCTGGTATTTTCTGACAGTCTCCTATCCAGGTACTAACCTGGTTTGGCTCTCTTAACTGCCAAATGTAAATAGTAATACAGAGACAGTACAGAGAAGAGATAGGCCAAGCTTAGTTGTTCCCATGCACATGCCATGTTCTCTGCTGACACTAAGGACAATGAAGTCATTTGTGCAATCAAATCATTTTGTTTGCAGTTTCTCATAAATTGTTGCTTATACTGTCTAGTGGCAACAGCATTTGCCTAGATAGAGTTCTCATTAAAGATAGGTCAGATGGCCTGGAATAATATAATTAAAGTACTAAATCCAGCAGTTCTCAGCTTGAAGCTTATTTTTGTGATGAACTGTTTTTCAGCTTCTGTTCTCTTTTATACATTGTATTGAGATTGTGTTGTAACAAAAGTTTTTTAGGAAATATGCAATATTGGCAATTAAATTATACTGTTATGAAGAACACAGAATAATATGAGTAAAGTACTTTGAATATTAAGGATTTGTAATATTGATTATAGTGTTAGAGCACATTATTTTGTTAGTAAATATTAATTTCCCATTGGCCATCAGAGTGCTTTCAGCCATCGTAATATGTATAAATATAAAAAAATTAAATCTTTGTGAGCATTGTGAAAAAGCCATTACATTTTCAAGTAAATGGAAAAAAATAGGATTGCTTTCCTAAAAATCATTGGAAATTTTATATGGATACAATTCTCAATGTCTGTATTCAGTTTCCACTCTGTAGTCCAAGTAGTTATGTCTCTCAAATCTTCAAGAACGTCCACTGATTAAAACTAACCTACATATGTTTATTTTATTTATTTTTTTGCATTTTCTGTTTTTTTTTTCCAGAAAAAATGCTAAAGTTCAAAAAAGAGGTAAAATAAACCTTATTGGTAGACTGCAGTTAACAACAGAGAGAATGAGAGAAGAAGAGAATGAAGGAATAGTCCAGTTAAGAATATTACGAACCCAGGTATGTTAACTGATTTTAGGTTGTTGTTTTGTGTAATTCTGGAACCTAAGAGATATGATATGCAATTACAGTATGCTGTTCAAAAAGTGGTGTTTTGATGCTTGACAATGCTCCCCCCTTCTTTCACAATATGTAAGTAGATGAAAAGTAGAATTGGCACTATAGGCTGTGGAGATTCATACATTAACTGTCTGACTTTGTTATCAGAAGGGCTCCACAAAGCAGGCAGTTGAAAAATAGTTTTTCTGCTAAGTTACAAGACACAAGCTGAAAACGTCAAGGAAGATAGTTTGAGTAGGTTTCATTTTATACAGTGCAGGAAAGAAAGAGTAGTAAGAAGTACAGGAAAAAAAGAGTAGTAAGAAATGCAGGTTGATCTTTTAGTACTTCCACTTAAAAGTTCTTGTTCATTGGTGCAACAATGAAGATGCCAGGGAGCCATTTTCAAGGTGCATTGCATACCAAATTTTACCAAGTTCTAGCAGTATGCTTCATCATTACTAGGCACATACTGCATGGATGACAAGAGCTGCGGTGGCGCAGTGGTTGGAATGCAGTACTACAGGCTACATCTGATCACCGGCTGCCAGCAGTTTGGCAGTTCGATCCTGACTGGCTCCAGATTGACTCAGCCTTCCATCCTTCCGAGTTTGGTAAAATGAGGACCCAGATTGTTGAGGGCAATGTGCTGACTCTGTAAATCTCTTTACAGAGGCCTGTAAAATACTGAGAAGTGGTATATAAGTCTAAGTGCTATTGCTATTATAAAGGCATTATTAACAAGTGCCCATTAGTAGAATCTGGCATGGGGAGGGGTGGAGGGACAGAGTCTAAAATATAAAGAAATACAAATTTGTAAATTAAAAAAATGCTAAAATGTAAGTTTCTTGACTTTGAGGCCAAGTTTGTATGTATGTCTAGGAAAGGAATACTTTGGCCATAAGATAGTCATCAGCCTGTAACTGACAGCATTTAGCTCTGCAGTGCCATATGGATATTCTAGATCATTTTGTATGTTGCAAACTATAACTTAGGAAATATTGCCTTCAGCTGTCCAAATGACAGCTCTGAGTGGTCCACTTCTTTCTGTGATCCTTCTATCCCATTTTGCCCATATGTTGGATCATAAATAATGTTGTCCCATACTTACAGAGAGTAATTAAACCTTCCCTCAAGTTGGCACCTTCTAGGTGCGTTGAGATTGCAGCTGCCAGAATTCCCAGACAGTGTGGCTTAGTGAGTGACAGATTGGAAAATATAGAGGACAAGGAAATGTAGAGAAATGTAGAGGACAAGGAAAAGGACCTTAACGGAAATACGTAGGCCATTGGAGTAGCTAGTAAGACCAAATGGAAATTGTCTTTTACATTCGTTAACAAAAATCCAGTGTTATAAGAGCAATTGTTTTGTATGACATAAGGTTGCATTTTCAGGTTAAGCTATATGCATTTAATATTTTCCTACATGACTGATAACCATATTGCTAAAAATAACCATATGCAACCAGGTTGGTGAGTATGTATATAAAGCGTATTCTTTTATCTAAGCTAGTCTGACCTTCCCAGTTACTAAAACAAACACTTCTAGTTTACAGAAGACTAACAGAGTGACCTAACCAGATGCTTGGGCAATTGTGTATATGATATCTCTTTCAACTTGTTTGCTAGATCCACTTTGCTTGTCTTGGACAAATATATCCAAAGTGCAATTTTTCCTTTTTTCTCCCCCTTTTTTAGGAGGCTATCATCCAAATAATGAAAATGCGGAAGAAAATTACTAATGCTCAACTTCAGACTGAATTAGTAGAGATATTAAAAAATATGTTCTTGCCACAGAAGAAAATGATAAAAGAGCAAATTGAATGGCTTATAGAACACAAATATATCCGAAGAGATGAATCTGATATCAATACGTTTATATACATGGCATAGCCTAAGGATTTACTGGAAAATGCCAAGAAATGTGCAGTTGGAGTGGTTTGGGCAGAAAAAAAAATACAAGAAGACTGTGCTGTAAAAGGACTTGACCTGCATTACTTACTCAAATTCCTGCCTTACCTTATCAGAGGACTTTATTTTGTGAATCTCTCTCTCTCTCTCTTTTTCAGTTAGCATGATGGTGTTCCCCTCATCTTGTGCACATTTTTAACAGCATGCTGGTTTTGTGGAGAAACAACATTCACAGAGAGCCCATTGTGAGAATATTAGGATTTGAGTTGTACCTGGAAAAGAACAGATCTGGGATTTTTATATTACAGAACTTGCACAAAGAAAAAAATTTCAAGATATTCATGCACTGAAAAACTTGCTAGTTTTCATTTTCACATAAGAAAGAGAGAAGCAAATAGGTTAGATGTAGCACTTCATACTTTGTGTTTTGGAACAACTGCCTAAATGTATTGTCCTCCTTTTGATCTCTTCCCCATGTATAATATTTGAACAACACACAAATGCATCACATCTATATATACATATTTATCTGTTAGCTTAAACAAGTGTTTCAGTATGAAAATTGGATTGGAATACTGGGATACTAGTAATCCTAACAGGATATATTATATATGTCACATAGTTTGCTTCAATCTCTCCCCTCCCCCTTTTTTAAAAAAAATTCACTTTATTCATGGAAAGATCTGTTTGTAGTGAAAAAAATATATTAAATGTATTTGTTTATACATTTAATACTGGCATTCACTATTTTAATACTGGCAGAAAACAAGTACATTAAACATAACCAGTACACAGTTCCCTCAAAATAGTAACATTTTGACAATCCTTATATATTCCTTTATTTATTTGAAAATAACTAAACTTATGTTTATACATGTAATTAAACTCTGAAAAAAAAAAGAGAAAGCGTGGAAGAAGGCATGTTTTTGGTCTAGTTTGATCAACTAATAGATTGATCAATCGCATAGGCTGTTGACTTACTCTACCAACAACAGTTGTAGCATAGCCCCATAAGCTTAGTGAGATGTATCAAACCCATCACTAAGTTGAAGGCCCTTTTCTCTTTTCCTTTAAAAAGTCTGCCTCAGATTTAAGTGAAGAAACACACACTAAGGCTGTGAAATAGTGTATAGAGGGCAAAAAGAATACAGAATGTCAGATTAAAATAAATGCTAGTGAAGGACTCCCAAGGTTTTAGCTTCTCTAAATGATTTCCTATTGTGCCATATTGTTAGCACCTCTTTACAAAACTACGTTTGAGATTTTAGCAATGCATATGAATTTTCTTAACTTTCAGTTGTTACATTAGACTATGGCTGCTAATTGGTAGAAAAGTAAGATCAAGACAGACTGTAATTGTGGACCAAATGAATTTAGCAGGCTGTATTTTACATAACAAGACAGTGCCAGGGGTATAATCCAGTGGAAATGGAAATCGGTTCAAACTGCAAGATTTTCTGATTTCTCATCTGTACTCCCTTGTCTACAATCTTCCTGAATAAATTCTTAAAGAGTGCATGACATGTCCACAGGGGAAAGAAAATTTGTCCCCTCCTCCAAATTGGAAACTGGTCTTTGAATTCTGCCTCAAAACCTTGCACTGATGCACACATACAGATTATAGCTACCAACTATAATGAATGTCCCCAGGGCTAGGTTGAGAAAACCCTACTATGATGCAGTGGAGAATTACAGACATTCATGGTTATGAAAAAAGTAAATGAAGACAGGGTGCTGACCTGAAGTTTCATCTTCTGTATTTATGTGCATTTTTTATTACTTGTAGAACAGAGATTAATATTTTTAAAGTGTTCGCTGCAAACTTAACATAGGATTGTTAAAATTTCAATTTCAAAATGTTGTGAATAAAAGTCAGAAAAAAAAGTTGTATATATTATCCAACATCCAATATATGTTAAACTAAAATTGATTTACCAGAAGTCTTTTGTACATGCTACAAGATTTCTAAAACTCCGCATTAGATTTGGAAATAAAGTTAGAAATGGGTAGAAAAAGACAAAAACTTTTTTTTAGAAAGTATGTACATATTTCTAAACTTCTTTGGTAGAGTCCTTTTGACTTTGCTTCCTGTTACTTCGGATGCGAAAGGAGCAGGCACGCGGCATTGAATATCCAACCAGCCGTAAACCTCATATTTAATGATGTCCAAATGCTAGCAATTTGACTTTCAGAATGATTTCATTTTTTAGCAGGGCAAGTCTTTTAAAAATTAAATCTTGTGTCTGACTTTTAAGTTCCTTTAGGCTTAATGAATAGCTCTTCAGAATTACCTCTCTCTATACTTCCTTTTGCTTCTCAGAAACAGATAACTGATTCAGTGTAAGAGATTATTTTCTGAAGGGATACCATCCGCAGGTATACATTAGCCTGGATGTTGCTAGTGGAAAACTCCTTATTTACATTAAAAATATTGATTACACATGTCTTACTTTTTAATCCCATTTCATTCATAATTTAAGTGGGTTTAAAGCCAGAAAATAGAACAAACAATACGCTATAAGCATAGTTCAGTACTTATGCACATTGGAATACATGCCATGTGAAACATGATTCAAACCTCACACCAGCAATTTTCTTAAAGCTGCAGCATCACATTTAGCATTTCTGCTTGGACATTTTCAACAAGATGCCCTTAAGGCTATCTTTGTTGTGAAGGTAGCTATATATGGATTTAAAATATATGCAGAAGTGTGGATACTTTTCACATCTAAAAGTAAATTAAATAATCAGTCCTTGCGATATGGCACTTTTCAAGCTGATTTTTTTAGCTTTGGATTATTTTTATTATTATTTTTGTTCCCTCCAAAGATCTAGAATAAAGAGGTGCTGCTTCTAGGAAAAAAAAATGTTGCCACAAGCATTGCCATTGTGGTTTGTATTAGGTTATATTATAAATGTGAAAAATATGCTATGAAAAATAATGTGAGTTGCATTGATTTTAACTATACTTACAAAATGTTTTGTCACAACTAATGAGGTTCATACTCTACTTTGAAGTCTTCCATTTTTTTCTTAATCCCATTGATGTCTTCGTGTACTATCTATTCATTTATTGTTTTTCTTGGAGCATGGTGTAGTTAAATTTAAGTTTTAGTGGTGGTTCTTTCCCTGTTTTTTTTAAGGCAACATGACCTGAGTAATCATAAACTTTGGATTTTATTTGCATTATGGTATCAGTTGTGAAAGGTACACATAAAAATACAGAGGAGAATTTTGATAGGTTCATGGACAAATTTTGGCATCTTGAGTGCAAAATTATTTTCATGGAACTAGTTGGAATGCTGTGTTTGTAAATTCAAGGTTCTATGTGTGAAATAAAACAGTACTCAAGAGCATATTTGTGAATGGACTATATGTAGCCTGGAGTACAGCGCAAACTTGAGTTTCCAAGGTTGTAATATCTACATATGGTAATTTACAGTTTGAATGTATGCCACTACGTATGAGATAATGCTGTACAATTTTGACTGGTAGCAGTTTCTTCTTGTATGGCAGTCTGGCTGAACTATTTTGATGTACTGCTTAACTTTTGGATTTTATTTTTTAAGTTGTATAATTTATTTTCATGCAAATAAAATGTAATATAAAATATTCTAAAAACAATATCATAACTTTTTTTCTAATGATTTCTTTCATTTATAATTCTATCCCATATCAATAACCATATTAACCAAGATCTGAAAATGGCATTCTCAAACTAATAGTAAACTTATAAAATGAAAGTTAATTTTCAGGGTATTTTGTAATAGGGTGCCCACTGGAAAGCAAAGCAGGTCAGCCCTAATTATTACTTGGGTGGACCCCATCTGGGAAATTAACATATTGAAAGAAAGAAAATGGCAAATCAACTTTTAAATTATAGACAACAACAGCAAAAAGGCATGGGTGGATGGTCAGCAAAATTTCATTAAGAGTTACTAGAGATAGCAACACATGACTCTTTTTTTAAAAAAACAAATTTTATTAATTTTTAAAAGCATACAAAACATACAAGATAAACATAAAACCTTTTTTCTAAAAATTTCTAAAAATTATTTGAAAGTTTTACAACATTAACACATTTCCTTACAATCACATATTTTCCCTTTCTAACTTGCTTTATTTTCTTCTATCTTTCTCTCCATTGTCCTTTTCTAACCTTTCTCCAAGGTTTTATTAGCTCATTCAAACATAAACACATAAGAACACAAAACATATAAACATTAAAAAAAAAACATCTTTTCTGAAAGTTGCTTAATCCCGGGTCAAAAACTCTTTGTACAGACACCAACTCAAATTCATATTCATTTTTTATGCCATTCCATATCTTATTACCATTTTCAATTTTTTATATAGCTTCTTCTCTCTCTTAGATTCTCTTAATTTTATTTTATTTATCTCATCTCAATTCAAATCATAATATTTATTATTCTTTGTCTGTTTATTTCCAGCTATCGATTTATCTTTCTTCTTTAAAAAAAAAAGCTTCTCCTGTACACTAATTGGAGTATGATGCCTTTACCTCTTTCCCCTACATTTATAATACTTAATATAAAATACCTAACTTACATTGGGATTCTATTTGGTACATTCTAAAATTATACAATATTATCAATACCAATACTAATCTATTCATTAATATTCATATTCTTTTATATCATAAACACTTAGCACATTACTTTTCAATTAATTAACATACTTTTGTGGGAGCACCTACTTTCCATAATTATTCCCCCCCACATCACATATTTTAAATCATTTCATTAAGGTATTCCTGCTTCTCCTACTTCAAATCTCTCCTTTCAAAAAAAAAAAAAAAATTTCTACTGAAATAACACAATCTAATTAATATTGACATTCATTTGTATCTTTCTCTCCAACTCCTTTATATCTTAACCATTTTATCCATTTCAATTAAATAACATGCCTTTTGGGAATACTTATATTTTCCACAATTATTCCCCCCCCATCATATCTCAAATCCTTATTTCATGAAATGTTCCCCTTTTCTTAAGACAAGTTTCACTAAGTTATATTAAACATTTTATCACACTTTAAATTACACATTATTTCCAACTTTCTAAAATTATTTCTAAATACAAATATAAAAAAACAATCTTATGTACCTTTAGAATCCCTTTATCAATAAAGTTTACCCATTATCTCTAAAAAACTTTTGTTTCTTTACATCTTGCTCTCTACTATTGAGGCTTCTCGTCCCCTTTCTCCCTTGCTTATTCTTCTCTCTGTCCTCTTTACCCCTTTGCCTCTCCACCTCCCTTTTTCTCTGCTTTCCTCCTTTCTGTTGTCTTCTAACATAATATCTCTTTTTCATCTTGTTTTTCTCTTTTTTGATTGCTTTTATAGGTCTTAAAGTCTCTTTTTCCTTTTTCTCTTTCTCCTTTCCTTCCCCAGCCAGTCACTTGTTCATCAAAAATGGCTTCTTCTTTGTCCCAGTCGTCCTGTTGTCCATTCAATTTTACATAAGTGTAGACCGCCATTTCTAAATACTGAAAAAGAGTATCAAAAACGTCCTTCCCTTCTTGCTTTTCTTTTTCATATTTTTGATATAAAAGTTTCAATCTGTCCACAAGTAATGCCATTATAAAGAGAAAAAGTTTTCCCAAGCAACCACCCAAGTGCTTTTAATCAGAGATAATTCTCAAAAGTGGTAAAATCACCAAGCAATCCAAGTAGGTTAATTCTTTTAAGCACCTTCTCCTTCACTTTCTCTTTCTGGGATTGGAGTTTGATCACAAAGTTCCATTTAATATATATCTTTCAGAAGCCTTGTTAGTATTTATGGCTCTTTAAAAATCCAGGCAGTCTTCTCCTTATTTTCAAATTCCAATCCAATTTTTCCCTCTCCCTTCCCACTCACAGCAAAAAAAAATTTTTTTAAGTCTTTTTTAAAAAAAATCATTCAGAAATCCTTATCTCTTCAGTATTTAATTACCTAGATTTTCAGATTTCTCTTGTTGTTCCATCCGCTGTCACGTTAGGAAGGAGAGTGAAGGGGGGAAAAAAAACTTTCCCTTTTAGAATTCTGTGCGCCGCTTGTAACTCTCTCTGGAAACAATGTAGCAACTTCTCCGTAGCAATTTTCAAGCCCCAGGAAACTTTCTTATCCCTTGGCAACTTTATCCCGGTCCAGAAACAACTCTCACGATTTCCCCGATTTTCTTCCTCCTGCACAATCTTATCCATTTGCAGGTTTCTTCATGGCGGCCATTGCTGACCGCCGCTCCTCCACCTTGGGAAAAGGGGGTTTTGCTGGCTAGGGAGGGGGTCTGCGACACCCCTTACCCCCTTTCCAGATCCCCCCTGTCTTCAGCTGCCCCTGCAGGGCAGCTATATCCCCCAGATCCAAACGAATCGGGGGAACCTTGGCAGTGAGCTCGGCAGGGATCGCGCTGGATCGCAAATCCCTGCCGCTGCCGAAGCCTCGCAAACCGGAAGTCAGCAACATATGACTCTTGACAAATGTATCTTTCATGTATACTGAGAGCATTTGCACCGAGACAATCCTTGTGTGTTCAATCACATTTGGTCAATAAAGAATTCTATATTAAACTGGATCAAATAAATCAACTTTATAATCCTTCCCTTTTAACAATCTTGGTCTTTAATCCCTTAAAACAATATTCTAGAATTTGATTTAATTTTTTTATTTGTTTGTTTTCACAAAATCCTTCATTACTTTAACAGGTCTCTTGTAAATCCAATTTAGGAAAGTTATCTAAGTCACTCTTCTGGTTTGTTATTTGTAACACTTGTTAATTATTAAGACTCAACTGGTTTCATTTGTATATCCAGTATATCATCCTTTTTCTTAGCATTCTTGTAACCTTTCATTTTTAAATTCACTTTCAGATTAGTCTCAGTCTTATTCTTCAATGACACTTTTATATACTATTTATAATGGCAAACATTCTTAAAAGTAACTCCCAAGTCCATTATTCACAAATACCCTTTAATACTTCCAATGTTAAAGAATTTGCTCCATCCTGTGTTAGCAAGTTGAACTTAAGTGTTCTTCTCTTAATTGTAATCTTTAGTTCCTTCTAGTTCCCTCTGAGGTCCAACCTTCAAAAGAGTTTCCTTTTTTTTTTTTTAGAATTCAAAATAACAGCATTTTTCCACAGGAAGAATTCTTATAATTAATTTCAAAATTTTACTTCAAATCCATTTGGACCCTTAATTCATTTATAACTTTCCAAAATCAATACTCCAATCACCTTTTTACTGTTTATTAAAAAAGAATTCTAAGTCCTTACCTTAAACTCATATTTCAAAATTCACTGAGGATTGAAAGAACCAATTAATGTCATAAAACTTGTCATTTCAAAGGTTCTTAATATTTGAAAAGTAATAAAAAGTAATTCCAAAGGTGATTAAGAAACAAGGCTCAATTAAAATTTTATCTCCAGGTAAGCTATGTTACAAGTTGTAGTCTCTCAATTCCAAGCATACCACAAAAACATCAGATCCTACAGTATTTTAATGAGGAGCAGCTATCCAGAGTACTAATGAGCATCTATGGCGAGATTTTGCCAGCCAGGATCCACACTGGCCCCTTATCGAAAGCCCTAATGTCATGCCTACTTCTTCAGGTATGTCTGCTTTGCCATATCCTCACTAGAATTCATTTACTCTTTTTATAATGAGAGGGAGGGAGAGAGAGAGAGAGAGAGAGAGAGATGGAGATGCTTATTTTTCAAAGGCCCTAAAATTTAGCTTTGTCAGCAGGCCTGGGAACCACAAATGGAAATAGAGCCTATCAAGTGGCTAACAATTGTATTCTTGCTGGCATGGGGGAGGAGTGGAGAAGGTTTTTTTTTTAAATGATGTTAGTATATGGTAGAATTTACCACCATATTTTCCAATATTTAATTGTAAGCCATCTGGAGCCAGCAGCTATATAA